ACAGAGCTGTTTCCCGTCGCCGACGGTGGGAGAGCTTGCCCAGGGTGCTGCGATGGTACGGAGGGCAAAACAGTATGCCGACCTTGCCATCACGTACCTCCCGATACCGCCCGACCAGCTGACGATGATCGCTCATCTGGACGCTGCATGGGGGAATGCCAAAAACAATGGGACTCAGGCGGGGTACATCTTGGCTTTTACATCTAAGGATATGGCCACCGGACACGAGGCCCCTTGGACTCCTTTCAACTGGAGATCCTTTCGGCTAAAACGACTGGTGCCAAGTACCTTATCGGGAGAGGCCCAAGCGGCTTCAATATGCTGTGCCGCTCTAGAATGGATGTCGCTGCTGTTGTACGAGGCCCTCGATGGGCCCCTCGAGATCGGAAACATCGATGCCTGCATGAACACCCGGGAGCCGATCGTCGTGACAGACTGCAAGTCATTATATGATCATGTGAAGGCCAATACGTCTCCATCTAGCCTAGAAGACAAGAGGTGTGCTATTGACGTGGTGGTGATTAAGGATTCGGTCAAGCGATGTGGTGCTAGCTTTAGATGGTGCCCGACAAACCGACAGTTGGCGGACGCTCTGACAAAGGTCAAAGGGGACCCAGCGGACCTCCTGAGGGCCTGCATGAGAGCCCATCGGTACCAGCTTGCCGATGAAGAGTATGTGCTAGAATTAAAAGCGAACGAGCGAGAAAACCGAAGGTTGCGGGGTGCCCAGAGGAAAGAACAATCAACCAGGACACCAGGGGGTCCCAAAATGATTGTGTCGACCTCACCACGGGAATTAGAATGACCGACGGTTCTGGGGATAAGACGTGTGCCGTGTTCTGCTATGTATATCACCCACGGTATGCGTTTGCACGACATGTGTTCGCAAGCGTCATTTCAGTTATTTGTGCACCGACGGTACTGACTAAGAGATGCTGTGTTTGCGCTGTGTACTCCACCCACGGTATGCTCTACCTTGTATGCGTACGCTTACGTTGCCATTTTTGTTGTGTGTCGAGCCAATCTTTCAGGCCACGTTTGAACAGGTCTATCCTTGCGACGACTTGTGCTCAGTCGCCACTACAGTGCGGTGTGTGGTGGTGCGTGCTGTTCCGCACGATGCCCATCAAGAAGGAAGAGCGTGCCGACCCTCCCGGTGTGACCGGCGAGGATTTCGCTCAGCGCCTCCACTTGACCCGACTTCGTGCCAAGGGAGAGCAGGAGTCCGAGACGGTGCTGCGTTTCGGGAAGCACAAGGGGAAGGAGTATGAGGTCGTCTGGGAGACCGACCCCGGTTACTGCTCGTGGTGCGTGATTCACTTGAGCCCCACGAGTGGACCCAGTCAGTCGAGCTGGCTCCAGTTCCTGGTGGAGAAGAGCGAGAGCGGTGCCCAGCGCTCCGGTGTGACTTCCAGCGGTGACGTCGTCAAAGCCGACTCCACTTTGGTCGACCAGGTCAAGAGCCTTGAGGATGCCGTCGAGAACCTCGACAACCGCCTCTCGTGGCTCGAGGCGGCCAACAAATTTGAGGAGCTGGACGGCAAGATCGAGAAGCTGGAGACCCAGGTCCACCAGCTCCAGCACGCCGTGACGTGCATGGTGGAGGCCCTGAAGGCTTTCGGCGTGCCGATCAGCCTGCAGTAGCAGCTGAGGCCCCTGGACAGCGAGGCAGGCGGACACTTGCCCGAGCTGCCACTCCCCCTCTTTCCTTGTACTGCTACTGTTTCAGAAAGGATTTTAGAGGAGTGTTTTTGTCAGTATGAGCCACAGACCAATGTCATGTAGCTTGTTGTGCTCTTAGTGTCTTGTTCTGTTCAGTGCTCAGCCTGTCACACATGCGTGCCGCTGCTGTTTCGGACCAGGGGATATCACGAGAGTGCGGAGCGCCCGGTAGACCCAAAAGAGTTCCTTCAGGGCTTCGGATGTCAGCCAGTGGGAAGCTGTGACTTTCCCAGAGGGGGAGGAGGAGGAGGAGAAGGAGGAGGAGGAAGAAGGAGGGAGGATGAGGGAGGAGGAGGAGGAAGGAGGAGGAGGAGGAGGAGGAGGAGGAGGAGGAGGAGGAGGACATCTCAAACCGCTCTTCGCCCGTGAACTCCTCTTTTCCTCCTCCCTGTGCTCCCCCTGTCGCTGCCGGCGGTTTGAGTCTCGTCTCTCGCCCGTGCCCGCCAGCCTGTGGCACCGCCTGCGGTTGGAGTCTCGTCTCTCGCCCGTGCCCGCCAGCCTGTGGCACCGCCTGGCGCTTCTGCCCGTGCGCGGCCCTCGGAAGCCCTCGTGACTGCTGCGCCGCTTCGCGTGGAGCCTGAGGAGGGCGACCCTCCATCGTGCATCCGCCGGTTGGACTCGCTGGCGCGTCGGAGGAACAAAGGCGTGCGCGTGTGTGCGTGTGTGTATGTGTGTGTGTGTGTGTGTATGTGCGTTTGTGTCTTTGCTACGCCCTGTCGCTGCGCGCCAAACGAGTGTGTGCTTTGCTACGCCAGAAGTGCGCGTGTGTGTGTGTGTGTTTTGTGTGTGTGTGTGTGGTGTGTGTGTGTGTGTGTGTGGGCCTGCCTCTCGGCATGCATCCTGCACCCCGCCACCCTCGCTGTCCACGCCCGGGTATGTATGTGCATGGCCTGGTTAACTCCTGTCGGATTCCTGCCTCATCTTCTGAGGGGCCGGCCGCGCGCGCTCTAGTCGTTCGGGGACTTTCTCCACCTCGTCGCTGCGCGTGAGGCCGCGATCGCCAAAAGTGTGTGTGTGTGTGTGTGTTTGTGGTCGCACGCGTGCTCTCAACTGCTCCAGTGTCTTCTCTACATGTTCACTGGTCCGTTGGGTCTCCCCCCGCCGGCGGTGCTTCCCGTGCGTATGATATCGGGGCTGCGGTGTCGGCGGGAGACAAACTTCTGTGTATGTATGCAAGCATGCATGCATGCATGACAGGCATGCATGTATATACTTCTGTATGTCTGCATTCATGCAACCATGTATGACTATATATATATATATATATATATGTATGTCTGTCTGTCTGTCTGTCTGTCTGTATGTATGTATGTACGTACGTACGTATGTATGTATGTATGTTCCCCAATCAGAGCTTGCCTCTGTAGGGGTCCTAGCGGATTTAAGGGTAGGTGAGGTGTGCCGCCGATTCGGTGGCCCGGCCCGGGTGCCCGGGTGCCCGGGTGCCCGGGTTCGCCGCCGATTCGGTGGCCGGGCCCGGGTGCCCGGATGCCCGGGTGCCCAAGAGCCCGGGTGACGGGTGCCCGGTGCCCAGGTGGGTGCCCGGGTGCCGGGTGCCCCGGTGCCCGGTGCCCTGTAGCCCTATAGCATTATAGCCCTATATCCCTATCGCCCTATAGTAGCCTTATAGCCCAATAGCCCTATTACCCAATAGCCCTATAGCCCCAAACAAATTCTGATTGGGTTTTTCCCCGGTATCAAATGTATGTTTGTATGTATGTAGTATGTGTGTATATATATATATATGTATGCATGTATATATATATATATGTATATATATATATATTTATATATATATATATATATATATATATATATATGTATGCATGTATGTGCGTGTGAACATTCGGTTGGGATCATGTTGTCGCCATTGTTGTTGAGATGATTCTATCGCGTGCGCAGCGGGCTCGACATAACTGTGGCTCGCACTTCGACCAGGGCCCTGACCCGCTGGTCTGCATTGTATGTAAACGCGCTGAAGATCACATGTTGCGCCTGGTTCGCTTAAACGAGAACCCCATTTAATCTCGGGTCGTTTGGCTTTACCAGCTCCCATTATGCATTCAGACTTGAATTTTATGTCTCAGCCTGAGAGCCCTCGTTCACACGCACCAAATGCGCATGCTCTTGGATACTGTTTGCATTGCCAGATGTGCTGGCCACTTTCCAGCACACATGCGCCTCAACCCGTCAAGGCTTGGAATCACAATCCAACTTCTGCCATCCATTTGCGAATGACAGGCTCGCCTCCGATAAGCTGCGAAACAGCCATCGGCGCATACACGTTTTTGAAGAATGTGGAAGCATTGACTCGCGGAAGCTTGTCTATACCAGAGTTAGCGGAAAAAGCTGGGATCATCATCGGAATATCTGAATTCAAGTAGTTCGAGCTGAGGTAGAGAAGGCTTACCCTGTCTCCACCTACCACACCGAACCACTTGTTGTCAACGGTCGTGAGAGTACCTTCCCAATACTTGCTGGTGACATTCCCTGTGACTTTGCCTTCGCCGTCGTAAATATCTGCAACCGCATACGTCTTCCATCCGCTTTCAGGGAAGCTCTCTGCAAATCCGCTGGCCCCTTTGTGGCAAGGCTGCGATGGGCGCTTTTCTCTTACAGTGGGCGCACATTGGGGTCCCTGAAAGTGTTTGGGAATGGTCCCTGAAAGTGCGCCGCCATGAGAAGGTAGGTGCGCCCACGTGTTCTGCAAGTCGGTCACTAGGGCGGTCTGACGCGTCAAGGCTCCAGAAAGCAAACTGGGGTCGGATCAAACATAAAAAACGAAGGCAGAAGCGGGACAACATCGGATCGGAACACATCGGGAATCTCCAAGATCCGCCGGATCGGAGAGATGTATCGGGCGCCGCGGTCTTCGCAGAGCGTCCTGGAGAGCTCTGGAATGATTCATCCCTGTCCCAGCCCCGCCCCGTGAAAGCTACGGGAACTGTGCCTGTGTGTTGTGTTGAACGTACGACCCCTCCTGGCTTGGAAGCGTGAGATTACCATGCCCCAGAGCGAGGAGGAGGAGGAGAAGGAGGAGGAGGAGGAGGAGGAGGAGGAGGAGGAGGAGGAGGAGGAGGAGGAGAGGGAGGAATGTGGGGAGGGGAGGAGGGGATGGAGGAGGAGGGAGGAGGAGGGGGAGGGGAGAGGAGGGTAAGGAGGAGGAGGTGGAGGAGAAGGAGGAGAGGGAGGAGGAGGAGGAGGGAGGAGGAGGACCAGTGTAAACCCAAGAGGGTTCAACGATGTTGGAATAAACCCTCCCTCCAAGCTCCCTCGTCTTAGGCCCCTACAACGGTCCACTTTTACTGAGGGAACTGCCTCGTTGGAAGACAACTGTTTAAAGATCCTGAAGCCTGCCAAAACATTGTTCTCGGGATTCCAACGCCACGGATGAACCTTACTGTTGCGTCTTGACGATCATGAATCGTGCCAGAACGCCATTCCTGGGACGTGAACACTGCGAATCAACATAACTTGTGCACCCTCATAAGCCTGAATCCGTCCAACACACCAGTTCTGGTTCGTCGATCATGGGAATCCGTGAAACTCTTGCAATGTGTTAAGACGAATGTTCGCGAAACTTAGGCGCGAACCACATTTTGAAAAGGAGCCGCTTTCAATGCGTGAAACTCTTGCAATAAAAAACGAATGTGTGCGACGCTAAAACAATAACCACATTTTGAAAACAGCTCGCGCTAAAGCGAGAACCACATCTTGAAAACGACTCGCCCTCAATCCGTGAAACTCTTGCAAATGTTTAAGACGAGTGTGCGCGGCGCTAAGACGAGAACCACATTTTGCAAAGGAGCCGATCTCAATCCGTGAAAGTCTTACGAAATTAAAAAACGAGTGTGCACGGCGCTAAAGCGAGAACCACATTTTGTAAAGGAACCGACCCCAATCCGTGAATCTCTTGCAAATGTCTGAGACGAGTGTGCGCGGCGCCAATGCGAAAACCACATTTTGAAACGATTCGCCCTCAATCCGTGAAGCTCGTGCCATTAAGAAAACGAATGTGCGCGGCGCTGAGGCGAGAGCCACATTTTGAAAACGACCCGCCCTCCATCTGTGAAGCTGTTGCTAATTTAAGCTCCAATGTCATACATGGCCCAAGCGAAACTTCCGGCCCGCCCTAAAAACTGGCCTCGGGGTTCGACAGGGAGAAATTATTTATAAGGAGAAGAAATGGTGGAGGACGATGATGATGAGGAGGAGAAGAAGAGGAGGAGGAGGAGGAAGGTAATTCTCTCCGCCTCCAGGTGCCCACTGCCTCACGCCCCGGGGCCTCCCGGGTTCTTCCAGGGTCCTCCGGGCAGGCTGCCCAGAAGGCCCCCGCCAAACCTCCCGGGGCATTCCCGGGGCTCCGCAATGCCCCCAAGGGCGCCCGTGGTCCCCACCCGTGGCTGCCAAAGGTTTCCCCCCCGCGGCCTCGCAAGGCATTCTCAGGGTTCCGCAGTGCCTCCCAGGGCGCCCGTGGCGCCCCCCAGAGCTACCCAAAGCTTTCCACCGTCGCCAACATGACCTGTAAGATCCCCCCCGGCACAACTGAACATACGTTTTTCTATCATGTTGTGTGTGCGAGTTTGTTTGTTTATTTGTGTGTGTGTGTGTGTGTGTGTGCGTTCGTGTGCTGTTCCATCGCCGCTGATCCTAGTCGGACTTTGCTTCCGCATCGCCATGTCCCAATTTACAAATCCCTTACTATCACTAGCGACGGTACCGTCACCCGCCCGAGGAGAAGTGTGTGTTGTGTGTGTGTGTGTGCGTGTGTGTGTGTGTGTGTGTGTGTTTGTGTGTATGTGTGTGTGTGTGTGCGTGCGTGCGTGCGTGCGTGTGTGTGTGTGTGTGTGTGTGTGTGTCTGCGGCGGGCCTGACTTGGACGTCTTGGTGGTGGTCCGCTTTCCTCAGGGTGGTCTTGGCCTATGCGCCTTGGCCATTGCACTGCCTTTTTCAACGAATGGGGCATCCGAGAATTCGCTGATCCCACTTCGTGCTGGGCGCCTTTCGACTGGGTCTTGCCCTTCAAGTCTCAGTGACTGCATCGCTCTGGATGCCATGGCTTGACATGCGCACCGTGATGGACACCACTGGGCCGCTGACGCTGCACATATGATTATGGTTATTGTTATTTTTCCTGCTGTTGCTGTGGCTATTCTTGTTGTTTTGCTATGATGATGGTGGCTCGTAATTTTCTTTTCTTCTTCTTATTATTTTCTTCTCAATCTTTTTTCGGAATTATCGTCAACATTTTGTTGTTTTGTTGCTATTACTATTCAAATTAGTAGTCGCCCCATGATTACTTTTATTATCGTTACTATTGCTATTACGATTGCTGTTACTATTACTCGTACTATTACCAAACCTATTACTAGTAATATTGTTGTTACTATTACAATTACTACTATTACTATTAGTATTACTATTATTAGTACTATTACTAGTACTAGTACTAATAATTTTGTGATTTGTTTACGTATCTACATATTAATCTCATTCTTAATGTTATTCGTATTGTACACCACACGTGTGTGTCTGTGTGTATATGCGTGCGGTATTGCTTGTTTTGCATCCAAGATGACTCAAGACTGGTCCAAGACGGCTCCCAAGTCCCCGGATTGTCACAATCTTGCCCAAAATGGTCACACTATGGCCCCGAGAGGTCACAATATGCCTATAACATCGCCCAGGGTGGCCCAATAAGTCTCCAACATTTTCCCAGCTGCCCCGACATCTATTGCTCAAAGATGGCCCACATTGCCCAACGCGATCCCGAGGTCGACAACGCTTGCACACGATTCCAAGCCATCTGCCCCCAGGCTACATATCCAGCAGAGGGACGGACAAACATGCGAAGCCCTTGGATATTTGCGCAGAAGGATGGGCTGGGGACCAGAAGCCTGTACTCGGACATATAGTGTTGTTAAAACAATTTCCTGATTCACTTCCCGCCATCAAATTGCGCAGAGGATCGTAGGAGTAATCGTCGAGTATGAGGACACGGTATGGCATCTCACCGGAGCAATCGAGCTCTCCAGCGCGGCAATCGGCTTGCATCTGGGCTAATGCCATGGCCGCACCTGTATCGTCCGCATAAACTCCATCGAGGAAACGGAACTCAACAGCATCTGATGGCAATGGTGTCATCAAATTTCGCGACGAAGTATTGACGAAGTCTGTCTCGGGTGACAGGAGAGGACCTGCTTGTGCTTCGAGGCCAAGTGGCAAACACATATTGGCGATTTGGTGTTTCGCCCAAGATCTGCCACTGTGCGGCTGTGCACGGAGTGGGCGTGTCCTCGGGTCCTTTGCCCCGTCCCATGAGCCCCAGTCCTCGATCCTGAAAATTCTCCAGGGGCCCGGAACCCAAATTCTCAAATCTACCGGGGCTCCCGGCGTGCCCCTTGGGCCTTGGATCGTCTTCTCGCGTGACTTCTTCGGCCCCAAGAGAGCCCCAAGATGGGCCAAGAGGACCCCGAGAGGCACCCAAAACGATCCAAGAGGGCCCCAAGACGCCCGATGATCGCAAGACGCCCAAGATGGTCCCAAGAGGCCTCCGAGACGCCCCAAAAGAGCTCCAAGAGCCTTCCCCAGATGGCCCCGAGAGGCCAAATCATCAATGCTCCATGAGTTTTTCAATGATTTTTGGGCCTACGACTTTTCGAGCTCCCGACGCTCCAAGAGGCCCCCAGGAGGGCCCTAACACGGCCCAAAAGGGCTCCAAGACGACCCCAGATGCGCCCAAGACGGCCCAAGAGGGCCCATGAGGCCCCAAGAAGGGCCCAAGAGGGGGAACACAAACCGAAAATCCGAGTCAAGAGGCCCCCAGGAGGCCCCAAGACGTCCCCAAGAGACCCCAAGAGACACCCAGGAGGCTCCGAAAACGCACCAAAAGGCCCCCAAACAGCTTCCAAAAGGCTTCAAAACGGCCTCCAAGAAGCCCCTGAGAGGCCTCCCGTGACATCCCAACCGTTCTAGAGGCCTTTGGCCCACAACCCAGGCACGGTGGCGGGATGGGCCGAAGGTCAGTCGATACTTTGTTCTTGAGGAGCGTGTCAATCAGCATAGGAGAACCCAGGCCACCGTAGCATGAAGAAGAAGCACTTGCAACTTCGAGTAGTAGGGGTGGCGCTGACGTTTCCAGAAGAGGCAGATGGCTTGTCTTTTTGTGCCATCCGCTGCCTGTGACTTTGGAAATGGTTTCCACATTACTCCCAGCATACCATGTTGCTGCGCCACTAGGGCGCACAACGTGCGCAATAGGGAGCGTGGCGTGCGAAGTATTAAAATCACTTTTTGCATGTCCATCCTTGGTTGTGACCTCGAGACTTGCAGTGGCTTTTCCGCTGGTCCATACGTCGGGTGGAAGGGACGTCTGCTGGACGAGTGTTGCAGTCGCCAGCCCAGTCATATCTCTGTCTCCGTAACGCAAAGAGGTTATATCAGGAATCTCGTGCCCGAGGATCAGCGCGTTGAACGGCATCCACTTTGCTCCTGGTAGGCCAACCGACTCTGAGAGGGGTACTAAAACTGTTTCAATATATTTTGCAGCCTGCGGGCAGGGGGGGACATGACTGGTCGCAGCGTCGAAGACGGTGAATACATCCAAGTTAGCGTCCATGGCTTCTGCAACCGTTGACTCATAGTGAGCTCCCCACGCAGCAACCACCTCTGAAATGTTAATTTTCAGGTCGAGTACTTTAGAATAAAATCCTTCTGAATAAACAAACTGTGATGCAAACCAATTCCCGCCTGAATTGGACGTGAGGTGCGACACTGTCGACCAATTGCTGATGGCCCGGGAAAACGCCATGGCCTGGACCATCGTTTTGAAACCGCCTCCGCTTGCCGCAAAGGTGAAAGGTTTTTGCCGGAGCTTGGAACTTGTGGCATGCATGACGCGCCTTGACATAGCCTGGAGTAATGCGCCTTCCTCTATCTCCACTGAATTGCGACACATTTCTCCGCACACACTTTCGGTCATTCAGAAAGCAACCGGTATCGCTTACAGCGACAACACCGTCGAATGAGGGACAAACATCTTGAACCAACACTGCGACGGTACATTGAACGGCCTGAGAGATCTGGTGCACATTCCTATACCTGTCACCCGCCAAGCTTAACCTGATCTTCTGACCTTAATCATGACACGTCCCTGAAATATATATGACCTCTACACCTCTGACTCATTTTGCTTTGACTGGTTGGGGCGCGCGAGTCTTTTCCGCTAGGCGAGAATTGGCCACAACCGGCTCCACAGAAAACAATTATCCGTGCGAAAGACCCAGCCATCTGTAAATGTGAGTACCACAAGGCAGGTGGGACGAAGGAGGGGGAACATCGCTATGGGGCCACGGAACGTGGACACCATAGGGGGTGCGCAGGGGGTGGTCTCTCAGCGCGGCCCCTATGCGTGCCAGGGTCGGAGAGCGTGGCAGGCGTGGCACTTTCTCGACACCAGAGGGGGCGTGCACGGGGTGGTCTCTCAGCGCGACCTCTATGCGTGCCAGGGTCGGCAAACGTGGCATGCGTGGCAGTTTCTCGACGCCAAAGGGTGTGCGCAAGGGGTGGTCCCTCAGCGCGGCCTCTATGCGTACCAGGGTCTAGGAGCGTGGCAGGCGTGGCACTTTCTCGACACCAGAGGGGGTGCGCCACCCAGCGCGGCCCCTATGCGTGCCAGGGTCGGAGAGCGTGGCAGGCGTGGCAGTTTCTCGACGCCAAAGGGTGTGCGCAAGGGATGGTCCCTCACCGCGGCCCCTAGGCGTGCCAGGGTCTGGGAGCGTGGCAGGCGTGGCACTTTCTCGACACCTGAATGGGGTGCGCAGGGGGTGGTCTCTCAGCGCAGCCCCTATGCGTGCCAGGGTCGGGGAGCGTGGCAGGCGTGGCACTTTCTCGACACCAGAGGGGGTGCGCAAAGGGTGGTCCCTCACCGCGGTATCTATACGTCCCAGTCGCCCACGCACAGCAAGCGTGGCACTTTCTGGAAACACCGTATGGGATGTGAAGGGGGTGGTCCCTCACCGCGGCGTGCGCCGTCCGTCTGCCCACCGCGTCGAGACTCGTGCGCCGTCCGCCTGCCTGCCTACAACCCCGCTCTCTTCCGTGGTCACCATGTCTCTGGCTGTCGTCTCCCAAGGCTTGACCAGCGCCACCAAAGGTATCGGCGAAGCAACGGCCACCAGCATCATTCTCGCGAGTTTCACGTCAGCTATCATCACGCCAGACACAATATAATCATGTGGGAATCCTCGGTAGCGTAATTGAATGTGGCCTTTGCGAAATGCAATGCGCTATGCCTGTTCGCACCATGGCTTTTACAGACTTTGAGGACGCGCGCTGCCACTGTCACCCACGGCGCCTTCAAGTGCACCCCGCTAGTCATGAAGAATGGGCTTGCGTGGCTGTGACGTAGGAGGGCGACATGGTTCTTGCGTGGGGGTGCGGGATATGTCACGGCCTCAATGCCCACGAACAGGCTCAGTGTCAGAAGCAGTGGCAGGGACGAGTGTGTGGCGCTAGACGCCATCCTTACGATGATGGCAGAACCGATGGCACCTACCTCCCATGGCTCCTGTCCTTGAGGCAGGGACGCGATGAAATTCCACATGTCGATAGCGGCGCACCGCCAATACCAGATGGTACGGACCTTCCAAGCATCTGGGAATCCATCCAGGAGCGTACTAACATTCAACGAGCGCTACAGCTGTACGTGGATGCGACTGCATTCGGGGTCCTTGTCATGCGGGTGGTATGTACACGTTGCCCAATGCTGCGCGCGTTCTGCGAAGAGCATCCTACGGAAGCTTACCGAGACATGCAATAATGAGTTGAAAAGGGTCGTCCTGGACACCAAAAGCTATCGGGCGCAGCTCCACATCCCCCCCCCCGATATCGACGTACTATCAGAAGGCGCTCCCACCGCGCGGGCCTCACCCCTTCGTGGCGCTCCCAAGGGTCCTTGAGATCGGTCTGGACCGGCAGGCGATTAAGTCGCCGAGGAACGATCAAGGGCGGGCGCAGCTCACTTGGGTACGTGCAGGACAGAGATACCAGCGGCGGGTGCTGAGCCTTGCCACAGGATTCCGCCCCACTGATGAGCCGCATGGAATTGCGCCATTACAAGGTATCGCGAAACTTGACAGCTGCGCTAGAGTGGCGGCCCATGCCAAGAAACACCCTGCTTGCCTCCAGGGTGCCCTGGGCTTCTTGGGTTTCGATGGTTTTGTTGTGGAAGGCGTGACGTTCCCACGCCGAACATCAATGGGCGTCCTGGGGTCTCAAGGTTGGGCTTCTTGTGGAAGGTTTCTTGTGGTCGAACCCCGACTGTAGCTGCGGTTGTTGGTTGCGCAACTGCTTGCCGAACCCGGTGCCTCGTGCAGAGCTTTGCAATTTCAGCGCACGTCTCACTAGGGAGCTCCAGAGGAGCCGCGAGATCAGTCGGGCCCCCGCGACGCTCTGGCCGCCTGAACTTTTTGACGCGTTGGGCGAGGGACCCATGGGACTCGCGAGTCGGGAGCGGCCAGGACGGCAGTGGCTCACGGAACTGCCCTGTCGCGACGCGGCCAGCACAAGGTCTCTGTGCGACGGGGGGGCGGTTGGCAACAACGCACCAGAGAAACTCGTGTGGGTCTGACGATAACAGATGAAAATGAAAGACCTACTTGACGAAACGGCTGCCGGCGGCATTCTCCAAAATGCACGGGCTGTCGGGCGCATCCCTACAACGGAGCAGCTCACTCTTTTTTCGTCAGCGGCGAGGCGGCGATCTCCGCTCCAGCGAGGAACTAGATAGGGACACTAACTGGCGAATTGGCCGGCGAGCAAAAAGGGTAAGGAAGACGGTCGAGAGGAAGAAAATACGCTCGAACGCCGAAGAATTCGACGATGAACAACCGGGGGGGGCAGCAGCAGCCAGGCGCGCAGGGCCAGAGCGCGGTGGGCGGCCGTGGCGAACCACGGTGGCAAGGGTGGCGGTGAGCAGTGGAACGCCGCGAACGAAGTACAGTCAAAACGTGTATTAAGGGTGGGTGGTGAGGACGCAAGACCTTTGGAGGCCTAAGCGGGGACTCTTGGGGCGGCGGGCGACCCGTGAAAACGGCAGAGGACAGGCCGCAAGTGCAAGGACACAAGGGCACCCTAGATGAAGGCGCGCGTCCTTACTAGGCGCGTTGACTGTACCGCAGCGCACCGAGGAGAAGGCGCAACACTGAGCCGTGCGGGGGCGGGAGCAGTGACCAGAAGGCTGGCGGTGACAGGGGCGCTGCGGTGGGGCCGCCCGAGGCCAGGTGGCCGGGGGGCGGGGGGAGGTAGGGCGGGAGGCAGCGGGCGATGCGCCCCAGGCGCCCGCGGGCGGCGGGGCGGAACAACAACGCGGGGGTGGAAGCGCGGGGCAACCGGAAGTGGCAGCGCAGCCAGACGGCTGGCAGAGGGAAGGGAGTGGCAGCCCAGGGCCGCCAGGGGGCCACAGGGCAGAGGGGAGAGGGGCAGGTGGCGGCGGGCGCGGCGTCCTGTGCGCCTGGAGGAGCGGGGCGGAACAGCACCGCAACGGGAGGGGGCGGCGCGAGGCCGCCGCGGAAGGAGGGGCGCGCCGATGGGTGCGGAAGCCGGGTAGCAACGCAGGGCGGCCCACAGGGCGGTCCAGCGTGGCGCGTCGGAGAAGCGCCCAAGTGGTGCAGGGGGGTGTCAGTGAGCGATGCGCTTCCCGCGCGGGAAGTACGTCGCAAAGAGCGGCGGCGGGGGGCAGTGGAAGGTGCAGGAGCCGGGTAATGCCGGGTGACGACGTTGGGCGGCCTAGAGGGCGGCGCAGCGTGGCGTGGCAGAGGAGCGCCGAAATGGCGCAGGGGGCAAGGAATGAGCGACGCGCGTCCCGCGCCGGAGATGCGTCGGGGGGCGGCGGCGGCGGGGGGCGCCGAGGGGTGCAGAAGCAGGGTGGCGACGCTGGGCGACCCGGAGGGCGGTCCAGCGTGGTGCGACAGGGCAGCGAGTGAGCGACGAGCGTCCCGCGCGGGAGGTGCGCCGCGGAGAGCGGCAGCGGGGGGGGCCGATGATTGCGGAAGCTGGGTAACGACGATGGGCGGCCCAGAGGGCGTGCAGCGGGATGCAGCAGAGAAGCGCCGAGATGGCGCAGGGGGCAGGGAGTGAGCGACGCGCGTCCCACGCGGGAGGTGCGTCGCGAGGGGGCGGCGGCGGGGAGTGCCCTGGGCGACCCAATCGGCGGTCCAGCGTGTGCAGCGGGGAAGCACAGAAGTGGCGCGGGGGACAGTGCGCGCGCGACGCGCGTCCTGCGCGGGAGGTGCGTTGCAAGGAGAAGATGGGGGGGGGCATGCGTGGAGCGGCGCAATGCCCGCGGGCAGCGCGGCCCGTGGAGGTGCCGCGTGCGGCCGGGTGGTGGTTGCCGCAGCAAGTGCTCAGCGCCGAGGGCGGGCGCTGGGGGCGTCGCCCCAGGCCGCGTGAAAGCGGCGCTCGCCAGGCTTGCCGCCTTTATCGCGCCCTTTGCCTTGCTCGGTGGCCTCGCGCTCCCGCGTCTCTTGCCTGCGCGTGTTCTCGGCCTGCTGGTTGCGCCGGGCCCGGCCCTAGTTCGCGGGGGTGCCTTCCCGCCGGCAGTTTTTCTTGATGTCGAAATTCCAATGCCGCAGATCGGCAATGAACTTTCGGCAGAAGTCCTCGCTTGCAAGCGGGTCGCATCGCCCTTTGCAAACGCCCTTGTTGTCGCGCTTGTCGCGCGCGCGCTTCCAATCTTCGCCGAAGTAAGAGCCAGCGTCGATCTGAAGAGGCTTGGCGACGGCGCCCCAGCTATCTATGCCGCCTCGGGTGTGCGTGCGCTTAAACGCGAGGAGGGGCCGTGGCAGGCGGTGCAGCCTGTCACCCGGGTCGAGCCGAGCTCGGTCAGCATGGTCGTCGGGCCAGTCCGGGTCGCATGCTGTCCACGCGCCTGTCGATTTCGTGCCTGGCGCTGGCTGCGGCCTGTCTTGCCTCTTCCATTCAGTCGGGGTCGTTGCCGTGGCCGTGTGCGGGGGCGCCGGATGTCGGCCCGCTGGGCGCTGCGCTTGGTCCGG